TGGAGGTGCAGTTCAGGGCGTTGCATGCCCAAGCTGTGGCTTCGGCCCAAAGGGAGGGGTAGCTTGGTGCTTCGGGGTAAAGAATCGGCGCTTGTATGCGGGCGGCTAGTGCTGCATCCTTTATCAGTCCCAGTGCTCTCTCAGCTACACCGTTGTATTCTGGGCTGTATGCGGGGGTGAACTCCTGCTTGATGCAATACTTGCGGCACAGCTTTCCGAACTCTCCCTCGAAAAACTCTCCTCCGTTGTCAGACCGCACGACCATGACCTCGGATGGGGCTCCGTCTGCCCTGTTTTCCGCTAGGTATCTCTCGAATGCCTCTGCAGCGTCTGACTTGTTTCTCAAGAAGTAGACGCGGTTCCACCTCGTGCAGTCATCCCTTACAATGAGAGTGTACCACTTCCCCCCCAAGCTCTGCACCCTTGCCTTCCCACTCAAATCCACGAACACTCTCTGCAGTTTCTTAACTGCTCGGGTTGACGTCCTGTTGGGGATGGGCTTGGATAGCCCCTTTGCCGTCGAGCACCCCATGCACTCCCGGAGCTGACCCACCAGCGTCACCCCTTGCTGCTTCGCCGTGTTCTTCAGCAGCACCTCGTGGGAGTGGCCGTGCGCGCAGTGGAAGTCGTTGATGTCAACGGGGGTGCGGTTCGCTTTCGCGTTACCAGGAGCAATTATGGCACAGGCTAGTTCCCTACCCGAGTCTATGCGGTGACCAGTCTGAACGAACAGGTCCCCCCATAGAGGGAAGTACACCGACTCCCCCCCACCAACGAACACCTCCAACTCACGCTCGTCTGCGGCTAAGCGGCCCTTGGTTTGCTTCAAAAGGGCTGTGAGGGACACGAGGTTGTAATTCAGCTCCGGCACATGAGCGACCCGTTTCAACAGCAGGTCTGTGGTCCCAACGCGAGAACCGATGGTCACCCTCACGTCGCCGTAGCCTACTATGGCGAAGGCTTGCTTCCCTGCGGCGACACTCAAACGTCGATCGCACTCATGGTAGTTTTCGAACGCGTTAGCGCTCGGGAACATGTGGTTGGTTGCGCCGGTATCGGCCACAAACCTTTCCTGCCTGGCCTGCTCTACACCCCCTCGATCAACGACTCTGTTCCACTCGCCTGTGAAGTCACGGACCACTAGCGCCTCCTCTGCCACGTCCAGTGCGGTGGCGTCCAAGACCGGCAGCTCCACCGCGAGCACCGCCTGCTCGGACGAGCACTTGCTCTTGTCGTGTCCGTAGCCCAGGCATTTCTCGCATCGCAGGGGCTCCGGCTTGGTACAGGCGGCCGCCTGGTGACCCTTCTCTCCGCACCGGAAGCAGCGGCCGTGCATGCTACCTGCACCGCCGCCGCCTCCGCCGCTGTTGCCACCACCACCGCCCTTGCCACCCCCTTTCCCCTTCTGGCTGCCACCGCCGCCGCCGCCCTTGCTGTGGCCGCCGCTGCTGCGGCCGGGCGCTCCGCCCCTGTTGCCACCGTCGCTCGCGAGGAAAGCATGCTCGGCCTTCCGCTGGCCCTTCGTGGCCCTCCTCCCCTCCGGGAGGCTCGCGTGCACGGTACTGACTACCCTGATTATCTCGCCCCGGTCCAGGTTTGTAGCCGTCTCCAACAAGAATTTGGCTTGTTGGTACTCGGGTGGAAGGGCATCGACAAAGTGTGCGAGAACAAAGGGTGTGTCAGCGTTGAGCCCTTTTTCCCGCAGTCGTGAGTACAGCAGCTCGAGCGTGTATAGATGCTCGACAGGGTTGCTGTTGCTGTGTGCGGGGATCGTGAATCGAAACATCTTCTTCATGAGGGCTTGTTTCGAGCCCTGCGACTCCGGGTTGTGTACTTTGTCGAGCTCCGCAAGGATCTCCTTTGCGGTCTCGCATTTATTCACGATTGCCTTGTCGGCTTCTTGGACGATGGCTGTAGTCACAAAGTGGAACGCCTGGAGGCCCCTCTGAACCTCATCACTTGTGTAGCCCAAGCTATACAGCTCCGAGCTAGGCCTGTTTGGGTCACCGACGGGTGCGTGCTTCTCGGCGTTGCCCATAAGCTGCCCGTCCAAGCCTACGGTTTTTGCGGCTTGAATAAGGGCCTTCCTCCACGAGTCGTACCCGTGGCCGCGACTCTCCCCTTCGAGACGCGGTGCATTGACCGTAACACGTTTTTGGCTACTACTGCTGTACCCATCAAAAAATGCTCCGGCCCCTCGAATTGCGGTTTGCTCACCTTGGGGGTTTAACCCCCTCGCTTCCCCGCGGTCCGGTCCTACGCCCGGGCTCATTCCGGCTGGCCCCACAGGATTCGCTCCCGATCTACCTGCCCAGCCAGTCGTCACTCTCGCTGGAACCCCAGGACTCGCTCCCGGTATGTTGTCCCAGCTGCTTTCCCGCGGGTGATTTCGCCCATCACGGGCCGTTTCCCGGGAAAACGCCCCGCCGCCCCCAGGCGGCAGAGCCTCTCTCTGGCTTGGGACGGCAGCACCGCCGCCCCTACTGGCATCGCCCGCCACGGCGTCACCAGGCTCCTTCCTCTTCAACTCCATCACTACGCTCATCAGCTGCGATAACTGGCCCTCCAGCCTCGCAATCGCCGGATCCTCGGCGTGTTGCTGTTGCGTGGCTGAGGTCTCTTCCCCCAGCCCTGGGACGGAACCGCTGTCCGACGCAGACATGACCCGATGCGGCTATCCCTCGAGGGACAATCAAATCTAAACTCTAGAGTGTTTGTCGGCCGTACTCCGCGTACTTATCGGGTATTGTTTGTGTAGTGTATTAACTTCAGACGGTGAGGCAACGCCCGTACCCAGGGCGCTGTCGTGCTCAGAAAGGAGGAGTGGCAGCAGGGCTGCTGCACACAACAAAAGGGGGCCCCGGTGCATCATCACCGTACCCCTACCTAAAAGGTTCTACACCATCTGCGTCACACTTGTACGTACGGCTAACATATCCAAACCATGTCCGTAGACCCACGAACAAGCCCTTCCCACCTTCCCTGGAATAATTGCCACCACGGAGTTCGCCTCGCTTGTTCTATTTTGTGCACGATGATATCCCCAACTTCAGTCAGAGATTCCCGGTGATCGTTTCACGAAAACAGGATGTACATCGCCTTCTGGGATTACCCTGAGGTTCATTTCATGGGCAACTCATGCTGGACTTTTCCGTCAAGGTACCGGATTTTTGCGACCCCGATAAAATATCCGATCGAAAATACGTGCGGTACCGATGACCAAGATCTATGCCGACGATGGCCTATTGGAGCCGTTGTTGCCCGCCCTTTCGTCAAGCAGCCTCCCCCCCCCCTCCCCCCGAGGAGTGAAGCGTGTCGTGCTGTGAATAAGCCTCTTCGTGCTTGGCAAGCCAGGACGGGGCGCCATTTGTCGTCTTGCTACGGAAACATAAACATCCATTGAGAGTGCCCCCCATGAGATTGATTCCCCGGAACCCAACCGGCGATGGTTCGGGAGCACCCGTTTGTGGAAAGTTGTGCCTCCTTGACCATGAGTAACTCGCGACACCAGATCCCGAAACAAATATCATGTGTAAAGGAAACGACATATTTTGTCAATACAGAGCCCGTATAAGGTGTGATCTGGAAAGCAAGCATTCGTCCTTGTAGTACCTGTCGATATTCCGACCACACCTTGCACCGTCGCCACATTTTCTTGTACATTCTCTCCGCAGGCACGTACCAGGGGTGGCAAGACGACTCTACTTGGTCCAGGGGGCAGGCATGGGCCATTTACGGCTTCACCATGGTACACCGCTATCTCACGGAGCAGAGGTTCCTGGACTATACCATCAACACCCTCAGGTAAAAAACGCCACAACGAGTAGACTCAAAGCGGGAGCATTCGTCAGGTAATTTCACTCCCTGCTTCAGAAACGATGGATTGGTGGAGGGGATAGGAAAGCCGACCGGGCTCGTTGCTTGCGGTTTCTGGTTCTTTACACAATGCACTACAAACTTTATTCACCACCGCCAATGATGACGCGTCCTCATCTTGAACTCTCGTGACAGCTACTTCATCGACAACCTTCCCGACGACAACGTGCCCTACGCCGACTTCGACGATCCCGTGGACTCGGACAATCCCAACGATTCGTCAGCCACGGCTATCGTGACCTCCGCCCTCTTCGAACTCTTCGAACTAACCGGTGAGCGTAGGTGTCATGATTCATGCTAGAACCGGACCTGGTTGTGCTGTATTGGATGCCAAACGTTGATGATACAAATGACTCGGTTTGTTTTCCTCTGGTTGCTTGATTTTTCCTTTGTTCAGTGGCACTCTGTGTCTCCGTTCCACCGCAACACCCTACAATCCCACGCAGCCATGTCTTCTTCATATACCTCCACAGGCTGCGGTATGTTTGGTTTTTCGTTGCTGCTGCGAGCGCGCACTACGGGCACCTCCCCTTCCAACACCTCTCTTGGTTTCCCTGCCGACAAAAAACAGGAGAACCGAGCTACCTTGAGAAGGCCCAGGAGTTCTTGCCTTCATTGCTGCTATCGTCCACCTACTTCGACTCCTCGGCAACCGATGGGTGGCAAACAATCCTCAGAAACTCGACGGCGGCATGGGGTGATGCGGCGATGGGGTTCGTCACCGCGGACTACTTTCTCCTGGAATCGATAGTGAGTGCGAGGGTGTTTGCCAAGCGTTCAGGATGATGTACGACGGCTGCTTGCTGCGATAGCCGAGCTCCTGTCGGTGTTTTTCGATGTCAGTCACGTAGGGTGAGCGGGATAGTGAACATTGCGGAGCAGGTGACTTCGACCTTGTCGCTTGTTCTAAGCTTGTGCACGTGCAGATTGCTGACGATGTCTCTGACCTTGGTGCCTGCGTGTGGCAACCACACGGAAAGCACCAGGCAAGTAGATGAAATGAATCTTCGTGTAGACGTCGACCAGTGCGAACGCCACGCCCTTGCGCTGCCCCCAACATCGGCCTCAATAGTGCGTCCTCACACATGGCTGAACAGGCTCCGACCCCAACTAAAGGCTCTTAAAGCCAGCGTGCCACTTAATTGTCTGCGTTGCGGCTCTCTGGCACCCCATCACTTGGCGCGGGCGTCAGGTCCGGTACAAGACCATGGCCCCTTCTATCATTCTGCGGGACGAGGCTGACGCCAGCATCACCAACGAACAGCTCTCGGTCCAGTTCTCTTGAATCGATCTCGACAACGACGTCGACCTCTCCGCCGGGCTATCGGAGGAATCCGCCGTCATCCTTTGTTGAGATTTTGAGAGTCGGCCAAACAGCGAAGAGGTGGCCACAAACGACAGTTCGCTCCAAAATTTGAGTTTTCATGGGGGAAGGAAGCTTTGTTGCAAGTGTAAATAGGAAGTTCTGGTGAAGACGAGCTTCGTTCTTTGGGTCAAGTCGCAAAACAGCAAGCCGGGGTCTGCAACGCCGTCCGAAACACTCGCTTGGCCTTGCTGTTCCGGTGGATAAACCGGACATGCATCTTACGCCGGACGCTACCGTGTCAAGAATAGGTTCGGCTACTACAAGGGATGTCTCGGGCCTTTCCGCGGTTGATTTCCGTGTGTACGGCTCCCCGAGTGATGACGACGTGTCGAGTCTCGAAGAAATGAGTGCTCAGCGCCCAGGAGCCCGTCGCCCGCAACCCGCGGTGTGGCGGCGCACCACTCGCAGCTAGCTCCCGTGACGTACGGTGGCGAACGATTGCAGTAGTGAACGCGCTGCGGTTCGACAAACGACGTTCGACGACCCTGTTCTGTAGTGAATGTGTTGCAGCTGGACAAACGGCGTTTGGCAAACCCTCTCAGCCGTGACGTTTACCGGCCCTTTCTCAGTAGCGACTGTGCTACGGCTCTCGACGAACAACCCTTGTTTTCAAAAGAGGTACTCACCACCCGATGTCTCTCCCGATTCTCCCTCGGCTGCACACAACGTAACCAGGTTCGGGGCTAACTCTGACCGCCTCCAGCACCGCGTTTGTTCCGGTGTGGCTGAGACTCGACTCTGGGTCTCCGTCCGCGAAGGTGCTGATCGAGCCGCCCTCTGGAGGTGGGTCACGGGTTCGAACAGGTAACGATGAAGCCGTACCTTGCCATACGAGATCCTGTTAAGCCTGTCTTTTGTTTTTTCCGTCCAGAGTACTTGCTTGCCTCTCATGGTTGAGAGTCACGGGGGCTCAAACAGAAGCTCCTTGCCTCACACGTTAGTGTACGAAATCTGTTATTTTGTTTCTCTGCAGCAAGCATGCTTGCTGAGGGCCATGCGGTTAAAACAGACGAATGAAGCCTTTCCAGACGAGAAACAACGTGAAATCGATCGGTGATTTGGTCTACGCGGCAAACACGCTTGCCGCTCATGGTTGATCATGACAAGTTGAAAATCACCTCATCGAAGGACCACGGAACGACTATTTTTCAGCAACCTTCACGAGGAAAGAAAAACTGCCAGCCAGGACGTAGGTGGAGGCACCAACGCTTCGTAGAGGGAAAGGTATCCCGTGAAGGCACTGTTTATGCGAAGGGCGAAAACAGCAGTGGGTGTTTCGCTTGATTCAACTCGATTATGCCTTTGGTGACCTGTAACGCATTGTGTCGTGATTGGCGAGGAACTCTACACCAGTAGGGGTCCTTGCCGTATGGCCACAAGGATCTCTTGGGAGCACTTTCAAGCTTGATAACGACGAGTGAAACGGTTGGCGTTCGGCTCCCGCGTTGCAAACCCACCTCTCTTGCTGGCTACCAAGCTCGGCGGACAGAAGAACTGATTTCCACGCCTTGTAGCCGTATCTGTGTTCAGGTAGTTTTTGGCGCGGAACTCGCCACGAAATAGGGTCAGGGTGACCATCTCCCCACATCTCTCCGCCCCACATTTCTCCCCCCCCCCCCCCCCCCCCCCTGGCATTGTCAACGTCATCATGGACGGCACCCTCCTGCCGACTTTCATTCGTCGTCCGTCAATGGAACGATCATAGCGTTTCGTTCTAGGTGGAGGCGGGAACTTTCTCGGACTTGTCCACGGTCGACGGCGTGTCGCTCACCTTCAGCTACCCCTACGATCTCGCGGTGGCGGACGAAACCGGGGCGACCGTCGACTACCCTCGTGTGTTGGGACACGAGCTGAACACGTGAGACACAGACGTGTTGTGAGAGGGTGACGATGGCCGAAGAGACTTTGTCATGCCTTGCCGGAGAGACTTTCCACCGGGGGGGCAGCAAAAGTGGGTGCGTAGCTAAACAATATTGAAAACGAGACTCTTCACTTCAGATTCCCTGCGTGCCGTTCTTCATGCACTGACTTGCCATCTTCCTTGCGCCGGGCGTTTCATCTCTTCGTCAACACCGTGTATGTATGTATGTATGCATGTATGTCAGGTCGCTCGACACCTGTGACGCTGGAGTCGGTCAGGCCTGCATTAATGCGGTAAGCGTCTGTGTATCTGTGTTCCAACACCAACTATCCAGCCGGAAAAAGCGAAATCAAGAATGGCATCGCTAGTATAGCGTCGGCTTGCCTGAAAATGGAGCTGTTTAAGTGTTTCGGCGAGACTTCCCCCCCCCCTCCTGGAGACGCAAACAGCGATCCCAAGTGTTTCTCTCGAGTTCGGGGCTTCGTGCGGGGAAGACTGATTAGCTACGGTAGGGGGGTGCACGTTCGGGGTGAAATCTTATATTCCTGTTTCGGCGATCGTCCGGCGAAGTAGTAGAGTGTGTCTCCTTTCCCCAAATTGCAAGATGAGGGACGACCCCCGTACCGTACCACCACTCGGAGTTGGACGGGTATCCGCCCTCTCAACGTGGGCTCTCCTTTCCAAATGGGGAGGCCTCGAAACGTACCAACGCCGGCCACACTCCCAGCTTCTGAGCCAAGGTTCATGGGAAAATGGGAGGTTACAACATTCCTTCTAGTTTTTTCCGCTCATGAAAACAGGATGCGCTGGGGTTGAAGGTCGCGTGGTCGAGGAACTGCAATAGTCGCCGTCATGGTAGTCGTCATGGGCCGTTCTGCCGGTACTCTTACTCATTTTTTTCTTGAAACGCCGGGAAGGCCCCCCTCCGTTTCGGAGTGAAACCAAAACCGATGGACGAACGCAAGCCACCCACAAAACATGCCTTTGGCCTTTCCTGCGCGAACCTTTTGAGTCGAAGAGAGCAATACACTCCGATCGTTGTTCGCGTCATCGTGTTGACGCGCAACAGGACGATGAAGCCTGGAAGTGCAGTGGAGTCCAGGGCACTCGTCGGGGCCTTGGTCGCGGCGGCGATTCGCGCCAGCAACGGGAGCAAGGACTACAATACGCCGAGCAACAGCTGGCGAGGGGCTGCGGCGCTCGGGGCGTATTGCGTTCATGCACCTCACGACAGCTTGCGGTAGTGCGTGAGTGCTCAGTTTGCACGTTGGCCTCGAAGGGGCGAGAGATGGTCGCGTCGTGTTCGTGGCTACAGCCCGAACTGTGTATATAGCTAACCGACGACAGATGCGAACAAGAGGGGCAGGCGTATACTTGACGGGCGGGACAGATGCAGAGGCAACGCAACAATGGCCATGGCAAGAACGGGAGAAACTGGACGGTGGGGGGGAGCGGGGGATATCCCCGGCATGGAGAGTGTGCTGACCCTCGGGACTGGGGGGCAGTGCCGCAAAAAGTGAAACTGAGGCAGTTTAGACCGGGGGGTTCGATTGGGGACGTAGAAGCCGGGCAATGCATTGCAGTTGTGTGTAACGATTGTATGTTATGATTAATTGTTCGGGCCGCGCTCTTCAAATCGCTCAAGAGGCGCAGACAGGCACGAAATGGGCCACATCGTTGTTACCTTTTTTTTCGGAGGTGCTGGAGGTAGCACTAGAGCAAGCCACGGCGGGGCCCTTCTGTTGTAGTGTTTCTTGCGTGTGTACTACAGTAAAGTACAGTACAAGGGCGCTGAGATGGCGGCGTTTGTTCTTCCTTCTTGAAGGAGGTTGGTTTTGTGGTCGGATGAACAGGACTCAGGTTAACGGTCGGGAGTAAACTGTTTTCAATCAGTGGTGACGAATCACCGGTACAACCAGCGAACGTTTCACAGACCGGGCAGTGCTCGTGGTCGCCTATTGAAGGGCAAGTCCCCTGTAATCGGTAGGAGGACATAGATAGATGGGTTTGGAATAAGTGATCCGCAGGGTTAAGAAGCATGCTATCCGCGTATATTTTGATGTGTTTTGGTGCGGGTGATCGGTAGGACTTGGAATCATCCGCGTGTGTACAAATATGCATGATGTGGTGATCGGTATGACCAACGCATGTCGTCCGTGCGTGTTTGACATGTTTTCGTTCGGAAGGGGTGAATGGTACGGTAACAACTGGGTGATCGGCCACTCTTTGGCAGAATGCGGGATCTCCGAGATCTCCATGGGTTACTTGGATGTTGTGAATCTTTGGATAGTGTCGATGGACGATTGTTTGGCCTGTCTTGGGTTTTGATGTATTTCCGTGTCACCTTGCGATATGTACCGAGGGTTTCATCGGTCGTATCTCGAGTAGGGGGACTGTTTTGTGTTCTGGGCGGAATACAACTCCGACACTTCAGGGGGTTACGTGGATGGGATGTTGCGAGTAGGATGGACTTGACGCGCGCGTTTCCGCTTGGTCTCACCCCTGTCCCCCACTCGGTAAACTTGTAATTACATTTATGGTCACTCCTCTGTGCAGAAAAACTCCTCAAACGAGCCCGCGAGCGTGATAACGAAGTATGCGCGCCGGCACTCCAAATATCCCATTTGATGCGGACAGTCGGTTGAACATGTCATCCGTGATGTTTGATATTGTTTTGGTGCGGATGATCGGTAGGGCATTGACATTGTAGGCGATGGACGCGTTTAGTGCGGGTGGTCAGGTAGGACATATGTGACTGCGTTTGTTCAGTATGCATGCGCAATCGGTCGGATACAGGCTTGATCACATATTGACGACAACAGTGGTGAAGACCTTGAAACCACCAGAGCACCTACGAACCCTCGACCCTGTCCGGTCTCTCGCGACTACACAGGCCATCCTACACTCCGAATCAATACAGACGGGCAGGCGCAGGCTCGAAAGAAGCGCAGACTGGACTCCGGTGCGTGCAAAGCAGGGATGTCACTAAACTACGTACAGGTGACCAGGCTTCGGACATTGAGTGTGCTCCCGCTAGAAGCCACAAGAGCTCGTACACACATGATGCAACATTGGTGTCACAAGTTAGAAAATAGGGGAAGTCGAAACCCGCGCCATCAAGCATATCAGATGTCAACGATCAGCGCCACCCCACTTGTCCCCGATATTCAACTTACGATAAGGCATGGAGGGGCATATGATAGCAAAATCTTGAGTTTACAATTTAGTGTCACACAGCTAAAGTTACCATGATCTTCGCGAGCCCGTCCCCTGGTCGACAATAGCCCCGAAAAGGTGGAACACGCGGCTAGACTCCCTGCGTAATACGGCTGAAATCACGAAGGATGTACAGCTTTGGCTGTGTGGCGGCAACAACGTGCGTTCGACGAGAATGCTGCTTTCACTCGTCGTTTCCCTATTCGCTGTCAGAAGCGCTGCTAATCTCGGCCTGGCGGGGGCGTGCTACCTCCGCCCTCGCCTTCTGGACAATCCTAGACACGGAATACGCGGCCTTAGTCTTGTTCGTTCGGACGACCTTCATCTTCCTCGCCAGCGTCACCGGCTCGGAATAGATGTCGGCGTTCCACCTTCGAGATTGGTACATGTTGTGGTTAATAATTATATTTCAAGAATACCGTGTTGGTGGTGGTTCTTGTTCTGCTCCTGATGGTGGTGGCCTCATCCATACCTTCCCAGACTGCGGGAACCGCGATCCTTTCTTCCTATCGTTCACTCTCTTACTGCTACCATTTTTCATTTCAAGACCACTATTTTGCTTACCCGATGAACCTTCTGCTCCCTACGAAGGGCATTAGCTTTTTGTGTCATTGCTCTCGCACACGAACATGCAGACACAAGCGCAATGCGTGTGCAACACCACTTTGATGTCTTTGGGGACCAAACATGTTCTCATTTCTAGCATTTCATACTACTGTAACGTTTCATATGCCGTTGCATGAAACAGAAATGATGCGCCTCTAATACGACGTATGAATGTCGCGCTGCTACAGTATTCGCCGCAAAAATATGGTTCGCTTGTGCTGTGTTTAGTCCCACATGCCCTACTGCCAGATAGATGACGATTTCACATCCAACGGAGTACCTGCACTTCATCATTTCACTCACACCCATGCATTCTGTCGGTGTGTCGCTTCGTGAGAAGCGTGAAGACTGTCACCGGAACAAATGCACACGCAACAAACAATGGCCGAAGCATTCGCGAACAGCTGCGGGAAGTATCGGGTTCGTCGTGCTCTCACGACATGCAAACTTTGCCTCTCGATTATGGATTCGTTCGAGAAGAGTGAAAAATATTCACCCCAGCCCTTACCTGCAGATACCGGGTGCTTCGTCGGTGCCGTAAATTTCTTGGAAAATAAACCACACGAGAGCTGCACCACAGCAGAAGTGGATGAAGACGGCAGTTACGACAGGACGGAGAACGGGCAGGGGACAGAGTGTGGAGAATCAGGAGAAGAGCAGACGCAAGCTTGCTTGGGGGGAGCGGGCGAGGGACTCGACATGAAGCAGAGGAAACAGCGGGGAGACCGGGTGACGGAGAGCAACCACGCCGGGGGCGGGCCGGGCGGGCGACTGGATGGTGGGTGGGTTCCATGGACAGACAGACGTGCATCGGTTCTGCCACTGATCTCTCCACGCTGCTTCGGCTCGATCCACAAAACAAAAATATGGTCATAAACGTACGCATCCTCCGTCTCCTACGAACTGGTTGGATCGATGGATACGCGCAATGATCGTCGAACACCAAAGGACGAACGGCTGTCCTGGCACACGGCCAACGGTACGCAGCAGCCACGCCTGATTCGGGTTCTATGTCCCGAGGACGAAGGGTATTTGATGCACACTCACGCACAGTGTCCACTTACGATGGATGATTCGGTAGTCTTTCGCTATCTTGAGCCCCTGAATGAACCTAGAGTCGCTGTCGAGGGCGAGGGAACCCACCTCCACTCCGAACGCAGGCGCCATATTGGCGGCTGGCAGTTTTTGTCCGGATACCATAACAACCACAGCGTCGATCACGGTATCACGGTATCACGGTATCACGGTATCACGGTATCACGGTATCACGGTATCACGGTTGGTTTCGAGTTTGAGCAAGAGTGCGTTACACGGTGGCGGTGTTCGCTACGCACCAATACAAAAAATATCAAGACACAAAATCCGATCAAAAAGGAGAGAGAAAGGTAGAACGCACGCACATCTCGACCGGGAATTTCATTGTCGTCACGTTGGTGCGACTCACCGCACGGTTGCGTTTTGGTGCTTTCGCTGGGTGCTATAGCGCGGGTATTCAGCGGTACCACCCTCATTATCAGTAAAGTTGCCGTAGGCTTATTCCGGATTGTATCAGGCATATCTATGGCCGCAGTTCAGCTCCTCGTTCGGAAAAAACTGTTGACTAGTCCCAGTACACATCGCGAAATCCGGAGTTGCCGCACAGGAGGGGTGCCACAATATAGGGGAAACCGAAAGGCAATTGACGCACCCCCTGTGCCGTGGCAGGCAACCTTGCGGTGCGCCAGCAAGCGTATATTTTAATTATTTCGACTGGTTTTTCGGGGGCGACTGATAACTCTCGTGGTGATATCTGCTTTGGTTGCCACCGAACGATGTTGACATGACCAACTGACCCATAGACGATACCCGATAAACATTCACAACAATATTCCCGACATGATACTACTTTCTCCTGCACCCCACCCGCACCCCCGTTCTCACTCTAACCGCCAACGAAGGATTCAAGAGGTGGTGGGCTCTCGGACAACGGAGGGACTCTGTCGCTATCTACATGCTCGGTGACGCAGTATACGGTCGAGGTATCGCAGGGAACATGTGCCGGAGAGCCAAGAGCAAAGCATCAACTTCCCTTGTTTCAATGGTCTTCAACGAATCACCCACAACGTGCACACGACGAAACATTTTTTTTGGACTGCCTACACAAACAACGTAGTATATGCCGAAAACAGACCAGGCAGAGGGCACGTAGACCCTAACCCTAACCTTAGCCCTAGCCCCAAGTTAGTGAGCCGATTCTACTATGTATGTTTTGCGTACTTTGAAAAACCTGCGTAGACTACACTGGGACTGATTTTTTCGACGGTTAGATTAGTTTACTGCCGTAGTCCTCACATTTTGCGGAGGTGGACTGGTCGCCGTCGCCGTCCGGTGGGTAGAGGTTGAGGTTGCTGATAGGCCCCGGCGCGCTCGCCTGTCCCATGACAAACTTCACCCAGGAATTGATCCACTTTGCGTCGATCACAAACCAAAACTCTCCGACGTGGGGGTTGATGGTAGGCCTGAAATATATGGTCGACGATCACACAACAAGAACAAATGGCAAGTTTCAGCATGGTGAAAAAATGATGTTGGCTTCTCTTGGTGCGAACCTAGATGTGGCTGTGACGATGATTGGTGCAAAAGAGAGTTGGGGAACGTACCAGACATAGCAACACATATCTACTACACCACACACATGCTCGAAACCCGAGACGTACTCTACAGCGGGGTTGAATGACTGTCAAAAACCCAACGACGCCGTCTCGACTGGTCACGAGTTTCGTTGTCAGATACCGTATTTTCGACGGTGGCCAACACCTCATCTTACACGGGACACAATGGATTGAGTATAAAGCATTCTACCGCACTTACCAGACCAAATCGACGAAAATAACACGACCCATCACATCACCACGTACCTGTCGAACTTCTTGATGAGGGCCAACTCGGTTGCCCGCCTAAATCGGGGATATCCGGAAGCGTACGTACGTATGCGCAGCAGCGCCCGAAACGAGCACCAGCGGATGGACGCGGGGTCAGGGGGGGTTTCATTCTCTTGAACATGGCGACCATTCCTTCGTGGTGCCACCAAGCACGATTTTTTTTTGCTGTTCCAACGCTTTCGTTCAATGGCACCCCAGCCCCATTTCTTCCTCCTTCTCTCCGTCTCTCGAGGATATCGCTTTTTTCTTTCTACACGGATGGGCGATACGAAAGGGCAATCCCCCAGTCTGCTTCGCGGTTGGGATGCAGAGGCAGGGCCAGTCTACGAGGTTCACCCACTGCCGCAAACATCTGCGCGCGGTGGATGGGGTGGAAATACTAGAAAATACCACGTCAAGCGAGTGCGCCGGTCTGCAGGAAAACACAGAAGATCGGATGCCATCGCTCGAAACGATTACTACAGTGGACGAGAGGAAAACATAGACAAATACATTGCGCCCCAAAAAAGAACCAGAAAAACAAACGACACCCAAATATTGTCCAATTCAATACGGCCCGCGAAAAAAATAGTTCATATTGAACGGCCGCGCAATGAACGGGTTTTGAGTCGGTCGACACGGGTGCTGGAGATGCTAGTTCTTAACCGATTCACCCGTCGGTGGCAATTCGTTCCAATACGTGGTGATCAGTGTGCAAACGAGAATATTATCATTACAATCACCTTCTGTCGAGAGGAAATTCAGCCGGGAAGACGCCCAAGCTTCGCCTCTCCTCTTCGGGCATCTTGTGGTGCGGCGACTTCCCCGCGAGGATGATGCGGTCCAACCTGTTCGACGTGGTGGACGCGCCCTACTCGGCAGGCGGCGCCATTTAACGCGTGCACGAAGGGGACGGAATTTCAGGTGACCGGCCGCCTCAGGAGCCAACTGCAGAGCGATCTCAGCCCCATGCCATGGCAAGTGTACGGCATTTATTTGCCGCACGCATTGTACGCAACTGCTGTCACTGTAGCATTCATAGTTCTTCTCAACCGATGCAGACAACCAGCGTTGTGCACAACACCGGGACTGCGCAGTCCTTCCTGATGATGCAGACCCGATTTTTGAACGGCGAGCGCACACGGTCGTACTCACGTGAAGGCGCGTACCGCTTGGGGAACCCCTCGTCCGAACAATGTCGTCTGTGTCGCCAAATGCTGAATACTAAACAATACACGAAGCGACTAAGGCGTTTCGGAGGGTTGGATGGCGGAGGGGCGGCGGCTTGGAAAGTATGATCACTTATGCTGAGAGGAGGGGGGAAGTGACACCAGGCCGATACTTCTTGGAACACGGAAAACAGCTTCAGTTGTTCGAAATTGTTTGTTGTAAGCTTTCAGATGCATGATGCTTCCATCTGTCTTGACAGCTGTCCATACTTAGCTGAAGTGTCCTCGGTGGACCTGACTGCAAACATCACCGGTACGTCATAATCATTCCTCGCTGAGGTAGTACTGCCATCCGCCCCGCACTACGAAAACGATACTAGTCGATCGACATGCTGGTTGCCCGCAATATGTAATAGCAATTTGTGCGATCATGAGGTACAGCAGATGACCGCTTGAATGTTGAGGTTGGTCAGCTTCAGCCTCCTGGAAGGCGGGGTGTGTGCGGGGGCATGGAGGGCGGCAACTGTCGCTACTGTTGTCCGAGAGGACCATTGAACGACCGGGAGCGGGCAGGGGGCACACGGCTGCACGCTGATAGGGTTGATGTTTGTCCTACGCTGCCGGTGTTTTCCCACGCAGTGTGTCCACGTTGACCCCAAAACAGCTGCACAAGTCAACCGCGCCGGCACCCCTGAGCTAAACAAAACGAAATTCTTGTGTTCTGGCAGGTTTTCGCTTGTTCGAGGAAGGGGAACGGGGGGGGGGAGGTAGGGGTCCAACTCACCCGGGAGCTCCCCCTGGAGACGGTGGAGAGAGAGCCTGAGATGAACACGCCTTCTCTAGGGCGTGAGTGCTCCTTCGGGCTGTGACCGGTGACGCTCCTTCGCAGCATGCGCGCCCACCGCCGCGGGAAAGCGATAGCGGGAGGCGGGGCGGCGGCGGTGGCGCTGCCTGTGTCGGAGGTGTTGCTTCGTCGTCGCTCCGGCGGCTCCGCCCCTGCCGCTGGCTGCGACTCGTCCATTGGAGATGGTGTGTAGAGCGCTCCTATCTGCTTGATCTCTTCCAGCCTTGCCCTGCCCGCCACGGCACCTCTCCCCCACCCTGCCCTGTCGACGATGCCACCGCCCGCGTTTTCAATGTAGGTGGCAGGGGTTGTGGTGCTGCTGCTGGCGTCGGCGGCGGGCGTGATGTCGTTGAGTTCGATCACCGCAGCGGAAGCCGACGCCACCGCCGCCGTCATCGTGCGTTTTTGGACGGGGTTTGGCAGCTCTTGGGGCGCCTCCATTTCGCCCAGAGTACCGAGACCATTGCCGTGCCACGGTGCCACCGGATACAGCTCATATCCGTGGGATGCTGGAAGACGAACAAGAGGGGGGCGGGAGGGGGCGAGATGCCTCAAACGGGTTTGCTGCCTGCACGATGCACTCGAACCGATGATGCCTCTGCTTTCCTATGCAGACTAATAGTCATAGTGAAAGAGACCGCGGATGTAGGACGAAAATCAGGCAGCGGAGCAGCGGAACACCGTTGCGTAGAGAGCTGTGTGCGAGGGTTGTCGGCAGCAGGAGTCCCCGAAAGACATCGGCCGAACGTGGTTGCGCAAATTTTTCTACCTGCATCCCGACACATCAGCTGCCACAAGTAGAACGCAGACAGGTTCTAGCCGTGAGTATGAGGGTAAGGGGGGCTTCCACGAGGTGTATCACCGCCACCGCCTATTTAGGTGTAGCTTCAAAGCACGTGCATACAGCAGTGCGCATTCGGCGTGCCCAGAATCGAACACGGGCGCATTCGCACTTCAAAACAGGTCTACATTACAAGTAGAACTGCCTAGACGGACATGCGGATGCTATCGATTGAGCTGACAAGTGGCCCTGCCGCAATTCTCCGTGTGGTACCCATTGAATACCCTGGTGCCAGGGTGAGCTTTCCCACGACACCATCGACATCGATGATGCACAAATAAAAAGGGCAATGATTACATAGCTAGCGGTGCAACAGGAGGGCATCTCCGCGATGAGATGACGTACAAGTGGCAACAACGCGCTGTTGTTGTTGTTGTTGTTGTTGTTGTTGTTGTTGTTGTTGTTGTTGTTGTTGTTGTTGTTGTATTCATGTGAAACGGCTCCGTCCGATGTCTGCTCAACTCCGTCTCCCATCTGCATATCGTTCGTACAATAGCCACCGCACCACCGCTACAATTGTATAAGTACGACGGAGAGAGAACATGTACTACGTCGGCAATGTCCCTCCTGTGCATAACAACCCGAAAGGTATGCATACAGACAATAGGACACATGCAGAAGAGAAGTTCCACAAGCGAAGCGTAGCCTACAAGGTACATGGTCTACAACATTGGTGGTGACCAGAACAGACTTTACCCACAAACGACAGACCAACGAGAGACCCGCATTTGTTGAATGGGGGAGACTTTCGGAATGAGTCACTGACCATCGAGCTCGTCTGTTGCAGTTTCTTGAACAGTGCTGAGGCGGCGGGATGACTCGGGGGACTGGGGTGACAGGAACATGTCGGTTGCTCTCGTGGGTAGGTGGCGAGTCAATCCACGTGGTGCGATGTGAATGGCCTCCCGTGGCCAGGTGAAATGAACCGACGCTCTGCGTCAAAGGAGTACCGGTGCGTGCGTGCGTGGGTCCGGGTCTACGGTGCACAGTAGTAGTTGGTTTCGGCGGCAAGAGCAGGGACGGGGAGGTGGGGAGTAGAGAGCAACGCACTGCACGTACGTACATAAATCTACCACCGACAGGCTGGGTGCCAACGATGGATAGACAAATTGAGAATTGGCGAGTGGTTGAAACGTTGAAAGAATCCGAGTTGTATTTCATCTACATAGTCAACCATTTCATTTTCTCGCATCCACCTGTGACGTGACACAGCTCCACATGGCAGACCACGAAACCTTCCTGTGCAGTAGTTGTGTACGGCTGCTGGTCTACAGGAACATGGCAGTAGTACCGCTGTACGTCGAACAACCCCGAGCCGTACTTCTTCAGGATATCGTGTACACAGCTTTGGAGGTTTTCCACGCGTGGGTGGACCGCTGGGCTGTCGTCTTGACGACACGTGCTTGTCCTGCGAGGAGAAAGAAGACTGCTGCCTTGATGGAGAAAAAAGACTGCCGCCTTGAAGGTTGATTCAACTGTACCGCTTTAAAACGATGTACATTCATGAAATGCATTCGGAAAGTCTTTCGGAAGGGAGGTAACCCGCCTGCTATTGTCAACCATTGGTGTGAGCAGGAGGACGGAAAGTCCTGACTGCGGTCTATTTTCAATACACCTTCCACAGCTGCATGCAGAATAGTATACTATATTCACATGAATACCGTATACGACACAAGATGACACACCCCCCGGCCCGATTTTCAAAAGCTGGATTTATCAACAGCAATAAGAGTCGGGGTGCCCAAAATGGCGGCGTTGAAGCCTGCTGGTCGAGATCTCTCCGAAAACGTATCGTTTCGTTTATACATCCTCTTGGTCGTGGAGTAATCGAGCTTTCTTTGAAATCGGTCCAAGGGGTGTGTTATCTTGTGTCGTATACGGTATGCTACAGTACACATCTCGTAATAAACCTCCAGCTTGCCCTTTTCTCGCTGGCGGTTTGATTGCCTGCGCGTAGACCCTCTGGACTAATGGACAACGTAGCAGTGTCGCCCCAGCTCGTGTGGGCATGACAGGCTACCTTTTTCTGGCGGTGGGAGGTTCACCTACAAGGGAGAGGGGATTTCGTTGATCGATTGGATCGTCGGTTGATGACTCACAACCAAATGTCACCGGCCGAGAACGGCGAAAGCAACGTCAAGCGTAAGGATATGACGTTAAACCCACATTCATAGACCTAGGAAGCCTGACCCAGGCGCTTGGGAAAAATGGGAAAAACCGCGGAATGCCCGATGGGATGTGAAGACAGGAGTGAAGAAACTCAGCAGTGGCTGCTGTGCAGGTTAGGTGAGGCCAGCAGCGAGCGGCAAGAAGGGATTCCTGGCGTTGTATTCACTACCGCGGGCAGGCAGGAGGTCAGGAAATCCCTCTGCCCGGTTGCTAGACGCCCACACGTACTGTAGTCTGTAGCCTACCTCGACGTTACTTGTACTGTAGTGTATGCGCATCTGTATGCAGTAGTTCAGATCCCAATCGCAGGCGATTCAAGCACAAGTTTGGTGGGCCGTCGGCAGAAAATAACATTTTTTTCTGTTTCTGACGTAATCAAGATGTCGATTTTGACGGTAAACAACCACATCCACCATCGAGCGCTCAGCTATTCATTTTAGACTAAGCAAATAGACGAGAGGTACGGCGGCAGCATGCATGCAGTGGTTTCAGCCGTTTTTGTCGCGATGTTTGGCTGCGTCGGGTGGAAATATGGTCGGCTCGGGTGAAAGTAGGAATGTGACCATTTCTCGAAGCGTCCCAAGCGATACGGGTGGCTCGTCAACAAGATCGCAATGACCGACGCCGCCATGAAAACGAATGGTGGCACCAGTGGAGTCTAGAGCATTTCACGCACCCCGCATTCAAGGTGTCCGCGCTTGCGGTCATGGCATCGAGCGATGAGTTATTCGCCGCTTGCCGCTTGCCCATAGGCCATGCTACCGCTGTCGTTGATTTGACTCATAGTATGTGTATCAACAGAACCCAACACAACAACAATTGGCGTTTGAACCAAAAGAAGTGCTTAAAGTACCACCAACACACACCCCACGCACGGCAATGAACATCTTATTGTGTCATTACTCTGTGCTGTGATTTTCCATCGAAAAGAGCTCTGTGGCCTTGAAGAAAATTCATTGGAGCCATATCCACCTCTTGAGCGTCCCGCGCAAGACGATTCTGTCCCTCGGATCAAGCTGCGGGGCCGATTACGAACGAACCGTCTGCTGTTCCTCCGGTTGGGCGTTGCGAGCGACCGAGTCACAATCAACTCACTCTTCACCCCCATTGAAAATGGTTGTGGCAGAAAACAGTACAATCGACTGCATTTCGTCTGCGGTTGGTTCAATCGCTATTTTCTTGTTGGTTGATGTTCACAAAATTGTGCGAAGGTGAACCGATTACCGTATACGACACAAGATAACACACACCCCGGCCCGATTTTTAAAGCTGGATTTATCAAGAGAAATAGGAGTTGGGGTGCCGAAAACGGCGGCGTTGAAGCCTTCTGGTCGAGATCTCTCCGAAACCGTATCGCTTCGTTTGTACATCCTCTTGGTCGTGGAGTGATCGAGCTTTGAAAAATCCGTCCAGGGGGTGTGCTATCTTGTGTGGTATACTATGGAAAAAGTGAAACGGCCGAATCTTGTGAACCAGGTTCTCCTCAACACTTGCAAAACACATTGTTCGCATGGCAAGTGCTTCTCGGCGTTCATAGTTTTGAGCCCATGTCGCGACTCGGGAATGCGTGGGAACCCTCTATCAGGGTGCCACCGTTCGTTTTCATGGTCGAAGACGGCGCTTGAGATGCCACATTGGGGCCGTCAGAAAGAGCACTTGGGGATGCTTCAAAGCTTCAGTACACGCCTTTGGTTGCAGCACCATACTTCGTCAGACATGTGGTGGTCACAACGGGGTTCGTTGCTTTTCACCCGAGCGGACCCGTTTCCACTGAAAACAGCTAGCTTAGCAACAAATAGGACGGCAACCACAGCAAGCTATACCATTTTTTAAACAGATACTTTCATTTGGAAAGCGGGGGGCAGAGGGGTGTGACGCCTGCAAACGTGTGCTGCGGTCGGTCTCAATTTTTTTAGCAATCCGGCGACTCTCGAGCATATTTTTCAGTCCAACATCCTGTACGTGTCCTTCCCTTGTCTTGCACTCGCTCCCTATCTCTCACCATCAGCAGGGAGCACAGGACAAGGAAGAACGCATGTGCTGCTTTTTGCGGCTGCAATAGACAGAAAAAAAGCTCAGCCGCTTGTAAGAAGAGATATGTACGTACCATGATCGATGCATCCTGCAACATACAGCCACACAGTGTTATCATGGAAAAAACAAAGAATATTATCCAAAAACATCGCTCATTATTTTGCGTTACGCATGTGGTGTTTGATCGACGGAGACACATAGATTGGTTTGCTAACAACTACAGCCTACCAACAACACCTCAATTCAATGAATGGTAGTGCGGTAGCATCACTTGCGGCTGGGTGTGTCTCGGAATATCAAGTAGTTAGAAAACTGAAAGCGCGATGGTACAGTTAGCTCCCGCACATAAGAACGAACCTCTTTTTTCGGCCGAGGCTCGTTTCTAATAGCACCCCGGGAGTAGCCCCGGTCTCAACTGAAGCCCTTTTCCATTTTTCCAACGGGCATACATCAGAAGGAAGGCTCGTTATGGCCGAGGCTAGTTTCTTATCGTCTCCATGGGGTATCCCAATATCGAATGGACTATAAAGGTTCTACATGTAGCGTACATGTAGGCTTCTTGACTGGGCCCGCACCTGTTCCTATGTCCAAGTTCTTGAATGTATCTGTCCTTAAGGCTGAATTTCTTGGCTCCCAGGTTAAAAGTGCCGGCGCTCAATGTGCCAACGTACAATGCAAATTCAAACCTTTGTTATGTCAATCCTTGTGCCCCACACAATAATAGCCATGTGCCCGACGCATACACCACACAAGATGATACGCCACAAGGAAGCGCGGCAAGGGTGAAAAGTAGGAACTACAGTAAAGTCAAGGACTTACCCAAAACATGTAAAAATATCGTTGATGTACACAAGTCACCCCTGTCTCAACCAACTGCATCATTTCACGTCAGACCATCTCTAGCCGATGCCAGCTTCACCCAGCTTGGCGATAAAAACCGCTAAACGGCACAATTCACAGCCTCCCATTGATGGTTGTGATTTGTGGCTGACTCCAGGAAAAACAACCGCCGAATGTAGCGAAACCCAAACAATCACTCGAAGACAGAGCCAACAGAATCCCGTAAACACCAAGTAGCGATTTTCGGCTACGGTTCACAATACACCCCGTCGACCACGAAAGAATCTGAATGAATCTGAATAAATCTGAATAAATCGTTTTCCCCCATTCACTCTTTCGCTTAGCTTCGACGGCGCCGAGCGAATATTTGAACATGAGCACAGCGTCCTGCACCCGAAGAAGGCGACGGAATGCACACGAACAATGACTGCCCCTTGATTGGAAAGTCATCTTTGGGCATTCGACTTCTGCACCATTAGACTACTGGTGATTACATGTGCATAGAAACGTCAATACTTCAAGTGATTTTGAAACCTCGTCCGGCAGAAGAAGGTGTGTGAAAACGTTATGTTCTGCCCACAACGTCGTCGCAGGTCAGCAAGGGGCCGTACGTGAGTTGTTCTCCGATCCGGGGCCAGCATAAAGGGAGAAGCCTAAGGTGAAATAATTCCTCCGGGAGGGGGGGGGGACACGCCGGTGTTTGTGTTGGAAACGCGCGAAAAACGCTTGTTCACGACCAAGGAGCACGTTCTAGCGTTTAGGTTTTTGTGTTTCCTCCTTTTTTCGCGGCAAGGTGGTACGGTACGTCGTCCCTTAGAGGTCTGCGACGCCAGCACCGTATTCATCGGCGACGAGCAGTCGTTTCGACGAGCGCCAGGCTTGGTACTGCCTGTAGCTGGCCTTTTTTCTTTGGGCTTCTTCGATCTTCTCCCGTTCCTGCGAGGCCTGTGTCTCCTTCGCCTCCCTCTCCTCGATTGCCGTTCGCTTGATCCTTGCCACGAACCTTGGATAGCGGGCATGGTGCAGCAGGGTCGGGTGTACTCATGAAAACACATGCCGTATTCGTTAGACCATTGACCTCGCATTCTTACAATTCCCAGACGGAGCTATATATATGCCGGGTTTTCACTGACCCAGGCTGTGTTTGAATGAGAAGCTGGCCATCATTCTTGCGCTTGATGTGCCAAACCACGTTACGCTGTGCGTTGATTGGGCATAACAGCTAACCAAACGTCTCACATTCGGCGGGAACCAAACCACTGTACTTCAAATACCGCTTCGATTTTTTCGCGGTTGCACGCATCAGGCGCGCCGCACACAGCCAGCTGCTCGCTCCGTGTGTGATGCATTAGAATTACAGACATGTACAGTAGTCCGCCACAGTAATATTATTCTTGCGGAAAATTCCGATGGCGTGGTTCATAAGAAACGTTTCCTCTATGTACTTGAGGCGTTCCAACTATCCACTGTCCAACGACGAACATCCTCTACATTGTCTTGTGTTCCTGTTTCGGTACCCCTGGCGACGCCTCTTCTTTTCCTTGTCCTCCACACAATACAATAAATAGCAAAACGGAAACGTCACGAACGCGCACCTACGGAGCTGGTGTATTGCCTTCGTCTGACTCGGTTCCAGGATCCTAGTCCTCCTCAACCCCGCCACCTCTTCGGCATACACACTCAGCTTCCACCTGTCACGTCGTGGTTGTTCGCTTCGTCGGTAGGGACTCGTCGTTATGCATTTTTGATAGTGGGCGGGGCGAGTGGGTTCGTCGGTGGGCGCGCTGGCTTTCGTGTATGGCTAGAGTCTAAAGGGTCGTGTCACCGGCCGGGCTGATAGTGCTCCCAGTGCGGGCGAGCGAGATGGCTGGCGGGCAGGCAATGGTTCGTTCGAGGGCGGTACTGCCAGAAGGGACCTCCACCAGCATATGCACCCAGGCACACAGATTCGTGCGTGTGCGGCGTATCGAGTACTGATGTTCTCGGCAGAACCTGACATCAGACCACGAGTGAACCCCAATCTGCTGTAGAATGTTTGGGCGAAAGTCACCCTTCGATGTCGCTAGAGGGTGGTCGTGCTTTTCGAGGTGTGGTTCGCACTGCATTCGACATGCCTGAAGAACCACGTCCCACGAGTACCACCTTGCCCATAGAGGTATCCCGGCATATCGTCTGCCGCCTGTGTGTGGTGGGACGTTTGGCGGACGGACACCAGCCGGTTCCACGCCCACAAAAGCAGACGTTCATTTCCCGCGCAAAAAAAAAAAACATTCGGACGAACGCCCAAGCCCGCTCGCCCTCCTCCTCCTAACAGTATCCCAACCTCCAGGCCATAATCCAGTTCCACCTCACCTCACCTGCGGATTCGTTCGATCTAATGATATTTTCACCACACGGCCCACCTGCAGATTTCCGGGGTGCCATCCGTGGTATAAATCTCGCGAAAGATGTACCACACCACCGCTAGAAAGGGTTGAAGAAAATCGAAGAGGAAAAAGGCGCAAAATAGCACCAGCAGGCAAACAGCAACACGCACATCGAGAGCGGGAGCGAGCGGACAAAAAAAACAAGGGTGGGTGAACAAAGACAGGCGCGTACGTTGAAAAAATGCAACAAATAACGTGGTTGGTGTTTAGTGGACGCTGAAGAAGCCAGGGTTGAACTCGAACCGTATTTGGCACCATTTCGTTACCTTGCATCCCGTGAAGACTACCTATAATACAGTACATTAGATGTGCACTCATTGATCCAACCCAACAGCGGGTCTTTCAAAGGTCATCCGAACGGACGAATAATTTGGACAGCAACCACAATGGCATCACAGTGACATCAATGCTCACGGTGAATCGCCCTGTAGTCGCTGATGGCCTGCAGGTCCTCCTTGAACTTGGACATCTCCGCCGGCATAGGCGCTCCTCTGGTCGGGGCTGGGGCGATTGATCACCCCCACGAGACACGGGTCGGTCGATTCGGGGCCATTAGGGGCGTCGAAGCTCTGCCAAACTTTGGGTCACTTTGGCTTTGTTTTCAAGACACCCCGAACTTTGCTGGACACCGAAGGGTCACGTTTTGAATAGTCCGACGATAATGAATGGCGTTTCTCGGTGGACCCGTCGTAAGCCGGAATTTTCCAAGGAAAAATGGGGAATCCGTCCTCTTTGCACAGGTGCGTAGTAGGTGCTGGTGAACCTAGCAGATGAATTGCACGAGGTGCACTGCTGTAGCACCAGTAGCAGCAGTAGATCCACAAACCATCTGCCCTGGGCGCCACCGTGTGTCCCAGGTATCAGGGAATGCTGACCCAAGACGTTTGGATGGGACAATACGCAGTAGCGATACGACAATACGCAGTAGCGATAGAGACCAGCCAAGGTGTTTTCCGACTCAACATAGGCAACCAGCACCAGCGGCAGCGGTAACAACATTTCAACGACGACGACAACGACGACAACTTACCCGTCCGTCGAAAGGCGGCGTTGTAGGCTCCGGATCGAGGCATGGGGGAGAAGGCGTCTTCCGTGAAGAGCCTGCCGTTGGAGATGGGGCCCGGCGGGCCCGCCTGTCCTAGCACGAACGCCACCCAACGAGAAACCCAGTGGGCGTCGATCAGCATCCAGAACTCCCCGATGTTGGGGTTGATCGCCAGCCTGACGTGACGAAACGAAGGCGCGAGATGTTTTTGTTTTTCCAGTGGTATGTAGACACAGGTGCCGGGCTTGGAAAAGCAGTAAAGGTTTCCGCAATATTAACAACCGTTGTTCCCAAGTTTTCACGAGTTTGCTCAGACATGGTGAGGTTTGGTTTGTCTTGCTGCTTCCAACAGCAAAGGAATTTCGGGCGTGGACATGTGCGGGGAGGGGGGGGGGGGGGGGGTGCTTCCACCTGAAACCGGGGAATATTTGGGAGGGGGTTCCCAAAAAAACCCCAACCGGCGAAGTTGTTGGGGGGGGAGGGTGGCTTTTTTAATTTCCCCCCAAACCAGAAATCCGGGAAACAAAAAATTTTTAAAAATTTTTTTAGGTGGGGGGCCCGGGGGGGGGGGAAAAACCGGCAGGG